AACAGAAGTGATGAGGGGTAAGGAACAGCTTCCCTGTGAGGAGAGATTAACAAGACTGGGACTTTTCAGCTTGGAAAAGAAATGACTAAAGGGTGGGGCATATGTTCGATGTCTAGAAAATTATGAATGATATAGAAAAATAGAATAAGGAAATGTTATTCATTCCTTCACAAACATAATACACAAAGCTGACCCAATTACATTTATAGGCAGCAGATTTCAAACAAACAAAGTAAATGATTTTTTCACAATTAACTTGTGGAACTCCTTGCCAGGAGATAGTGGAAAGGCCCAAACCACAACAGGGTTCCAATAAGAATAAAATACATTCAAGGAGGACAGATCCATCAGTGGCTACTAGCCACAATGAACAGGGATGGTGTCCCTAGCTTCTGTTTGCCAGAAACTGGGAATGGGTTGGGCAAGGGGTTGATTTCTTCCTCTCCCCAGCTAGTGCTTGGTTCGTGCTGAGCATGCTCAGTAACACTGCTGATGCCTCTGTCCTCAGTCTGCCCTCCCCATGCTTTCACTTCTTCCCCCCCCGCCACCAGAGCATGCGCAGCCCCCCCACCCCCACCCAAATATGAAATAGTGCTCTTGTGTTTAACCCTCATTTCACTGGAGGGGGGTGACTGGCCTGCTACATTCTGGTAACAGTACAAGCAGGAGAATAGACTCCATGGGGATGTGGCCCCCCTCTGGCTGTCCTCCCCAGCAAGCTGACCCGGCATGGAAAGGGAGCGATCTGCTTCAAATACAGGTGATTACTTTTCCTGTGGAGCAGGGGCGGATATAGGACAGGGCGAGCAGGGCGACCACCTCGGGCCTCATGCTTCAAGAAGCCCCGCGCATGCGCCATGGCGCCACTGTGCATGTGCCTTGTCACGGGGGGGCCCCACAAAATTGTGCTGCCCTGGGCCCCGCAAAATCGTCATCTGCCCCTGCTGTGGAGAAAGGGACCATGCTATTTGCTCACGTACATGATGATTAGATTTCCACAAACATTCGACCCAGTATCACTTGAGCACTGGAATGGGCCCAGACAGGGAACCCAATGAGGTGTGAACCTGGCAGAAGTGAATTACTTTTACAAATTGGGTAAATATTTGTGGATTTTTTTTTTCTGCGTGTGCCCAGCTTGTAGTATTAATGGTAAATGGCCCCTGATCACTGTAATATCAACACACTTCACAAATGTAATGTGTTCGGCCTCATCGCAGCACTGTGAGATAGAGAAATGCCTAGTATTTAACACAAGTGGGGGGGAGGGAGAGAAGCACTGGGGGTATGTCTACACTGCCACCCTAGTTCTAAGTAGGGTGGCTAATGTAGTCATTCCAACTTGCAAATGAAGCCTGGGATTTAAATATCCCGGGCTGTATTTGCATGTTCCCGGGCGCCGCCATTTTTAAATGCCCCGTAGTTTGAACTACCTGCCCGCGGCTACACGCGGCACAGGCTAGGTAGTTCGAATTAAATCTCCTAATTCGAACTACCATTACTCCTCATTGCAGTGGCGCCTGGGAACATGCAAATAAAGCCTGGGATATTTAAATCCCAGGCTTCATTTGCAAGTTGGAATGACTACATTAGCCACCCTAGTTAGAACTAGGGTGGCAGTGTAGACATAACCAAAGAGACTTGTTCCAGATCACACTGTGAGTCTGTAGCAAGTAGGTTTGGACCCACGCCTGCTAGGTCACAAGCTAGTGCCCTCATGACAGGGTCATCCTTCCTCTCCCCCTTACCTGTTAGAAACAAAGGAAGTCCCCCCCCCCCCCCCCCTCCCCCT